CTAGCCTGTATGTATTTTTTTGTATGTCATCGAGAGTATTTAAATGATTTTCAATCAGGAAAAAAATGTGCGATTAAAATGCGATTAATCGCGAGTTAGCTCAGGCATTGATGCGATTAATCGCGATTAAAAAAATTTTATCGATTGACAGCACTAATATATATATATATATATCAGATCACCATGGCCAAATAACCCCTTGTTCACATCTTTATCTGGATTTTGTCAACTTTCCGTAAAGAAAATGTAACATTTTATACTCAAGGCTAAAAGGAAATAATGTGAAACAAGAGTATCATCTGAAAGATGTCTTTCCATGTGAATTAAAGCTTCCTTATAAATCATAATATTAGTTAAAACTTCAACCTCTGCAATATTGCAATAAGAAAGGACTGTTTAGCTACAGCTTTTAGCCGTAATATTTCAGATGCCAATCATTGCAACCCTGCTTGTTTATAATATAGTCAGAACCTTGCCTGAACACCAGCTGCTAGTTTAGTAACCACAATGTTAAAACGCTAAAAGAACTGTGACGGCATTGTGGTGATAGATCTTTCGTGATTGGAAGACAAAATATTTCATGACCGCTACAGAATTTCAGGCCAACATCAAGCCACTACTGATAACAACCACACAGAAGTTCCCCTCCCTGTGTAAGAACAAGTTAACTACCACAATGAAACATAACCGCAGCAGCTTAGCTCTTTCCGTTTATCTTAATGCCAAAGATCTTGGCAGCCTCTGGCACCAATGAAAGCAAACAAATGCAGACTGGCCCCTCCGGTGGCCCACTGTCTACCACTACAGCCAAACATCCCTTCATGGCAAAGTGACATGTTTTGTATTTTTCCTCTTCTCAAAAGCAGAAAGTGTTGAGTAGAAAATTCCAAAATGATGAAGAGAAGTGGTTCCCTTTATGAATTTGATCATTTGTTAAATACCTATCTGCTGCAGTATAACAGACGCTCGTTAACTGTTCCTTTTTCAAAAAAGCAAGGAAACACTTGTGGCAATTTTCGGTCTAATTTTTGTACAGGTTGAAATGACTGCCTCGTTATGACAACTTTAATGTTCTGACTCTGGGTAGGAAGTTTAATATTTCTGCTTAACAGCCTCAGGCTATAGTTAATATTTATTATGCAGAAACAACCAGAATGCAAACACCAAAAAGTATGAAGGAAGTGAAAGAGGATAAATATGTTTTTTTTAAAACGAAGGTTTTGGCACAGTTCACATCAGTACACAGCAATCATCTCTGCTGCTGTAGTTTAAATGCAAAAAAAATAATAATAATAAAAAGAAAACCTAAATATTTTGACACTGATGGATGTTTGTTCAACTTGCTGGTTATACTAATCCTAGAATGCTCTCTCAAACGTGCCTTTTAGCCTGAGGTTATGCGTATTCCTGTCAACAAGCCATCGTGATATTGACAAGGTTTAAACAGGATCTCTGATATGATCTCAAGCATGCCAAGTGCTGTCTTCAATTTGATCAAGTATTTTGTAATACATGGAACATCTTAGCTCAGGTAAGAAAAAAAAAAAAAAAAAAGGCAGCTCCTTTTCATCATCACTTGGAGCGATTATTTAGGCTTTTACCAAAATATCTCCAGAAAATCAGAAGGGAGGGTGTAGTTAAAACAACCGTTCCACTTAAACCAGCAACACTAACAAAGTTTACGTGAAGGTGGTAGACAGGAGATAAAAGAGTGGGTAGAAATGCAGGCATCCCAGGAGTCTCAGTGATTGCCGCGGGGTGGATGGTGTAACACTAAGCCAGGCTGCATGAAGCCTGAATCCAACCTGCTGTTAAGTTAACCTTTAGGGAAATACTGTGGCTGACTTCAATGATTTCTGCTGCTTCGCAGCTTGAGCTGATGGGGTTGGGAGAGGTGTAGTTGGGAGGGCGTCTAAAGCAAGTCAGTTTAGATCAGAGTCTACACACAGCTCTGCTGTGGAAATGCTGCCAATCAAGTTTAGAGTTGCTTTCACTAACCTGTCACTGCTTATGAAGCCTCATTATCAGGAATAGCAAGAAGTAAAATAGGACAGAATTCAGATCCTCACAGATAAAAATGGATTTTCAGCACCCTGAACTTTTTCAGAAGTTATTATTTATTACAAGCTCTCACTTCAGTGTCTTTTTAAGGTGGATTTAATGCATTAATCCAACACAAAGCAGAAGATTACAGAGAAGTGAAAGGAGGACGTTACATAGTTAAATTTTTTATAAGGTAAAAATTGTGTGGTGTGCATCTGTATCCAGCTCCCCCGAGTGAACACTTAGCAGAAACACCTTCTGTTGCGATTACAGCTGAAAGTCTACTGAGGTGAAGCTAACCTGGCTTCCAAAGTTAAAACTGTAAGAGTTGTTCTGTAAGGCTAAATGGATAATGCCTGTTGAAAAATCTACTTTACTGGTCAAAAGATTTGTAACACTGATTGTTGGTTTTCAAGTGAAAATTATTCAGTTAACTGTCTTTTTGCACTCTGAAATTAACGCATGATGAAAATAACTAAAAATAAACCATAGCATTGATTTATGGACCAAAACAGTCTGTTGGTTAGTAAAAAAAAAATCCTTATCAAAAAACGTCAATGTCACAGAATAAAGTGTCTAAAATTATTATTATTTCAAATAATAACTCAGTAGTAAGCCTTTCAGTGCATTGCCTGCTTGCCTCATGGTCTGAAACAACCTTCAATTGTTATGCATACTGATGACACAACTATGTTCCACTCTGATTTAAGCGTTGGTCATACATCAGGTGTAGTTGGAAAAGAGTTCACTCTTTAAATGGTTAAATGATAATAATAAGTTTGTGAATTCTGATAAAACTAGCTCTACACTAATCATAAATAAACAACAATTGCAAGACATTAAAAGTCCAAACAAAGAGCTCTGTTCTAAAGCAAGTTACCTAAATAAAATCATCTAGTATCACTGTAGATCATCACTTGTTATGGTCTAAACATAATGACAGTATAATTAGTAAAATGGGCAAAGGTATTGCGGATGCATGACAATTTTCTTCTTTTGTTACTCTTACAACTTGACAGAGGTTAAATGATCCTCGGTTCTTTTTTTTTTTTTTTTTGACTACTGCTCGACTGTTTGGCTGCTGCTACCAAATCAGATTTATCTAAGCAGCAGTTAGTCCAAAACAACTTGGCATTTGGTCGTCCATACTCCTCTAGTGGTATTAAAAAGCACTCTCCTTTATTCTGGCCCATACTTAGGGTCAAGCTGCAGTATAATTTACCTATTTTTTTTTTTTTTTATAAAGAGGGTAATTTTAACAGACAAGAATGCTTTAGTGAAGAGCTTATTTATTCTAAACAGACATATTATTTCCCCAGATATGCTTATGTAACTTAAAGTCAAACTTTTTACAAAAGTCATTCATCTAGAGATTATCTCAAAAATATAATTTGTTTTTAAACATATATTGTCAATGTAAATAACTGTTTTGTATTATGATAATTGCTTTTTATGAACTGGACCCCTGGAAGATTAATAACCTCTCTGGTGCAAACTGTTGGGGATCCTAGTAAGTAATCAAATGAACACATTTGTTGCATTCTTTCTTTTTTTATGATGGAAATCGAATATTTTTGAGAAAGTTCTTCTGAAATCTGCTAAAGACATTACCAAATACGTGTGGCATTCCTTTTTTCCCCCCACTCTTCTGTCCAGTTCATCCCAAACCAGCTAAATGGGAGAAAGTGAACGATAACAAGTTTATAATCTTGTCTTTTTTTTTTGGAGCAGCTCTGGCATAGTTTAAACATATTTTTGGGGTCATTATATTGCTTTAATATGCATTGCTTCCCAAATAGGATTATACCACTTGCTATTGTATGGTGCTGCAACCTTAGATCCAATAAAACAGCCCCAGACCATCACACTTCCTTCTCTGCATTTGACAGGTGGCATTTGACACAAAGATCCGGTGTGATGAACCAAAGCTTTCCTATTTTGATTTATCAGTCCATAATACCTTTATTCAGTCTTTGGTTGTCCAATTGCAGCTTTTTAATGGCCCACAAAAACCTCTTTCAAACTCATCATTTCAAACCTGCTCTTCCCTTCACAACTGAAACTGAGACTTGCTCACAACAACTAATAATAAAGGTTTGCTTAAAGCCATTGTCAGATGTGGCCTTGGGGTTTGTCAGACCTCTTCCTGTTTCTGAATGCCTTCAAAGAAAATGGTACCAACTGCCTCCTCAACCTTCTTTGCAATCGTTTTATAGGAAAGACCAAAACATTCAATGTTACGAAGGTTTCTCACCTCCATTGTTAGCTGCCTTTTTACAACATTTTTGTAGCATAATACTATTAAACTCAAGCCCACAAGGGTATAATATTGTGTTCAGTTTAGTTTTTTGGTGGGGGTGAGGGGTATCTTTCTTTTCAACCACTTATTGTTTAATACTTACTTTTGTACCGTTTCAAGCTATTAGTTGTAGCTGAACAACTTTAATTGCAATAAATAACCGAAAACACAGGTTGTTCTAAATCCTTAGACCAGTATTGAATGTTGGAGGCTTAACAGAGATGGTCTATTGGATTTAGTTTGCTGAAACTGTGTTTTCAAGCACACAGTACCTCCTTAACCGGGCATTTAAGTGAGAAAGGTGCTGTGAAAATGTGAACCCTGCGCACCTCCAGTCAGGTAAACACATGCACTACTGCCCCACCTGCAGACAGAGAGCCAGCTTGAAAGTATGTAAGCACTATAAAGGGGGATTTTCCTTGAATGTTTTTTTTTCTTTAACTGTTGTTTTTTTTTTTCTCCCCCCAAATCAGCAGAAATACAAAACAACTTAGGCAAACCAGACATGTTCTCTTGTTTTATCTCTCACTGGTCCGAATCTGCAGGGAGACAGGCATGCGGCCTAATCGATCCTGACACAGTGCCCACTGTTACTCACAAGCAACCACGCACTGCTCTTATACATGGAAACACAATGTGTTCATTGCAAGGAACAATGGGACTCTTAATGCAAAGAGTGTATGACTCAGTGGTATTGCTAATCGCAGAAGGAGGCGACGGGACAGGCACAAACATTCAGACATAATCTACACAACATCTCATTTGCACCTGGGTGGCAATTTGCTGTGTAGACGCATAGGAGCTCCAGCACCGCTTCCATTGTGGGGTCGTCCAATAAGAGCCAAGGCCATAGAGCATAGAGTGTTGGCGTTAAACGGGCATCCATAGCAGCCACCTACACACATGAAAAAATTAGATTCACGAACCAGTAAAGAGAAAAGCTTTGAGTTACAGTGTTTGCAGAGTGAAAAAGGAAAACCTAATAATGTGACATGAGTGATGCCCACAAAGATACCTCTATTCAGCATAACTTGACTCAACAACTTCCTAAATGTGAAGGACATCAACACTAGGCTCCTTGGAGAAAATAACCGTGCATTTCCTCTAAATGTAACAAAACACTGAGATAAAGAAGCCCAACTAGAAGGAATTATAGCAGTATCTTGCACATTTGGATGAATCTCATTTGGAGGCACACAGCACCTGTACTGCGAAGTTCCATTAAAAAACAATTAACTGGGGGGGATTTAATAGCAGGCGTAGAGGCTCACTTTGCATTCATTGTTGCAATAAAGAGCACTCCGCAGGATCTCTGCAGTCAGCTTGACTTCTTTTAAATAGCCCACTTCCTGAAAATATGGAAAAACAAAAACAAAGAGCAACATGTTTAATTGCTCTGGATTAAAAACAGCCTTTACTGGCCTCATTAAACACTCGACAAGAAGAGTAAGAGAACAGCTGTACAATGCGTTTCATATTCATAACATTTCTACTGAAAAGCTCTTTGATGAAAGGCTCAGTTTTATTTAACCACACTGAGGAAAACTGTGCAATACATTGAGCAGTGCAGTGCTTGGGATAAGACGTCCCCTGCCAGCTGTGCACACCTTTTTGCTGTGAGAAGCTTTTCCAGGTCGGATGGACTTCAGGTGGAGGTGGGAGTGGATCTGCTTCAGCTGCTCCACACTGCTGTCAATTAAACCAGCTGAACAACGAGACAGAAAAAGAATCAAACAGTCATTAAAATACAGTACTGTAAAAAAAAGTTTATCTGTTTTGAGTTTATTTCTTTCCTTTTAACCACATCTAAAACCTTTAAATTATTTTTAAAAATGTATATTAACGACAACCCAAATAAATCACTTAAAGAAACTAAACCAAATGAGACAAAGTAACTTAACCTCAGCATTTGTTGTGCCATTCTTGTAATCAACAACTGCCATCAAGTATTTGTGATAACTCAGAATCATTCGCATTTTTTAAGAGGGGAATTTTGTCCAAGTTTTTTTTTTTGCAGATCTATTTAAAGGAGTCACTCTGAAAGGTTTCCAAATATGAATGGCCAGTTTCATCTGATTGAAGTTTTAGACTGGGCAAACTAGAAGCTTAGACCAGGGATGAGTAAAACTGAGAAAATTCACACTTCAGTTATGTTGATTGCTCTCAGATTTTATTTATTTTTTTTTTTTTTTAGACCTAAAACGTTACGTGGCTGCAATTATTGCTCTGGGTGCAGTATTGCACTGATTGAGAAGAGAAAGAGGAACAATAAATTCTGTTTCATGGGGTTTCTGTTCCTATTTTGGTTTTCAAGTGTATCTGTGTGTTTACACCTCTTGAATATTCCCAGTCTTTTGTCTTGTGATTTCTTGTCTTTTTTTCCTTCTCTTCTTCTACATATATCTGCTACTCTCATGCCACATCTTCTCCTGCTGCTTTTGCATTATGCTGCAAGAGAACTGCCCCAGATTAACAACATCACCACCAGTGGTTGAAACTGTGCCAAGATATTCGCTGGTCCGGTTTAGGGTCCTAAATGGGTTCACATTGGTGTGATCTATCAAGAAATTGGAGTCTAGTGTGGTGGAAAGCATTCCAAAGGGTTGGTTATAAAGCAGTATACATCTAGGAACAGTCACCATGGTGCTGAAAAAGCAGAAGAACCCAGAGAATCCCACCACATTTTCCCATAGATAGGGTTTTCCTTTCTTTCAAAGCTGGTTTTAGTTTAAATATCATAAACAACTAGCAAACCTTGTACTTTTGTCATTTCAAACTAAAGAATATCCTCCCAGCAATCCTTGGGATCAACATGTATTTAGCTTTTTTGTTCAGCAGTATATTTTACCTTAGAATTCTATACAGAAAACAATTTTCACTCAATCTCTGCCTTGTTCTTGAAATGTGGAAACTGACCGGCAGAGGTGAAAGAGACTTGAAATGCCATCGGCTCCAAGTGTAATTTGAAATTAAGGCTGATAACAACCACATGGCAATTTTTAAACCACTTCACAGAATTACCCCAGTGAAACATTACTAGAGCTGCAGAGGCGCAGAGTCTGTTTACTTTAATGCTGAAGATCTTGCCAAAAAAAAAAGGGACGATTGTTGATGAACTGTTGGAGTACAGTTATATTTGTGGACCAGACTGAATAACCACTGTTTTACATTTGACCTTCGATTAAAACGTTTTTCTACTTTGGTTTTGATAGAAAACATAGACTTCAGATGAAGCAAATATCCATCTTAAAATTAAGGTTTTATTATAAGAAAAATGCTGCAGCTGTTAATGACTTGCTATCATATCACTTCTTTAATTCCAAAGAAATATTTACAGTCAATTAAACAACAAGTGTGGACAAATATATTGCATGGCTGGAGAGCCTGAATTATAGTACCTGAATTTATAATACCTGAATTTATAGTACCTGAGGTATTTGCATAATTAGCCTTATTGCAGTCCAGGCAGTTTTTTGCAATATGCATAATAGGTACAATAACACTGTGATAATGAAAAAGTAGAGATATATGGTAATGGCCTAAACAGTTGAGAACAGAAACACCCACACACAGCTTTGAGTTTAATTGTGGGAAAACTTGACCAAGGATGCTTTTTTTTTCCTTTTTTTTTTTTTACAGATGACACCTGAGTCCTAAATAATTACCTTTGGCAGCGTAGCTTTGAGCTGTTGGACTGCAAGCTAGAAGCGTCATCAGAGCCCTAGCTGTGAGCCTCTTTAAAGGGTCTTGAAGGGTCCTTTTCTCAAAGCTCTGACAACAATGACAACCACTGCGTTAGTGTTACTGTACATTCATACACCTGTTTGGAAGTGTAAAACTTTCAACATAAACACAAAGGCAATCCTGGGGTTAGCAGCTCCTCCGCTGATCGAGGAAACTATCACATATGAAACAGTATTCACACCTACCTGCAATAACAGTTCACAGAGCTCGCTGGCAGCAGGACCGTTTAAGACATTTGACAAGGTGCTGCTGTGCTTAGATGTTGAGCTTCTGAGCTCTGTGCCGCGCAACTCAGTCTCCTCTGTGAAAACTGTGGAGAGGAACTGCAGAGCCACAGTGTGGAGCAGGACACCTGCATTTTTCTCATTCAGACACTGCGACAACGTTCCTGGAGACATGCAGCAACATTGATTATAATGAATGACAAACGCTTTTGGAATCAAAGTACGACAAAAAATAAAAAGGAGAGGGGGGGAAAGCTAATCCAAAGTTTAAAACCAGTGACAGCTGGATATTTGACTGTGATTGAAGCAGCCTGCGTCCACTAATCATCTGAATTTGTCAGTGAACGCAAAGACGGCGTAAACATCCTTGCTAACAAAAACACACACAAGCACAAAGGCTCGGCATTCATCTTTTACTGGACTCATTAAACGTCCTTGCTGCGTCATTAATCAGAGAGGAAGATATGAGTAGGAGGGGTAGAGGTAGTTTAATTATCCTATCCTTGCATCTGTTTAGAGAAAGTTTATACCACAGTAAAGACGCAGCTGGCATGTTAATATGTCTCTTTTTTATTTGTTTACCAAAGTTAAGATCTTGTAAATTTCACTAAAAAGAATCAAACTGAATATTCAGGATATGATTGTACAAGAAATTTTCAGGTTTTGTCACTTATACTCTCTCACAGAGCGGAGGTGTCCACATATTGTACCTGTGAATGTCCGCCAGCGTCTGCCCAGCGCAGCGGAGACAGATGGGTGAACTGCCGAGCTGCCTCTCTTCACCAGAGTGGCCAGAAGCATAAACACGTCCGTCCAGCAAAAGCAAACCACATCCCACGTACCTGGGTCTGAGGAGGGGAAACAGTGAGTCACCGACAATTTTATGACTGTAGAAATAGAAAGAGACACAGATCAGCAGTAGTTAAGCAAAAGGAGCTGATTAAATGCAGGCCCTAAACAGATCATAAAATCATGTATACAGTAAATTATAGGAATGCACAGAGTTTTGTAAAAGGGGTCTGCCCAGATAAACCTTTTCACATTTTTTACCGCTACAATCCCAACCTGAATGCATTTCATTGAGATTCACTGATAGTCAAATGGCTACAAAAAACATCCAGGGCTGCCATTAGGAAGTCCATCAAATAATAAGGTGTACAAATGGTGATGTTCTATCAAAGCCTCAGAAGTTGTTGAGGGAAGAACTGAAAAGCTTTCCTAAGCATATAAATTAGAACAAGGGCTGAAACAATTAATTAGATCAATCGTGATTAATTGATTATTGAAGTAATCATCAACTAATTAAGTAAGTAATCGATGGCTGTGGCCTTAAAAGGACAAAACTGACAAGAAGAGCATTCATTTTAGAAGCAATTAAGTCTCATTGTAACTCTGGAGGAACTGCAGAGATTCAAAGCTCAAGTGAGAGAATCTGTTTACAGGCAAGTTTAGCTTTAAATAAAAAAGTGTAAAAAATTTTTTCTCCCCCAATATGTCAGAGGTCAATCTAAATCTGAAAGCTGAAACAGACAAAGAAATAATTGTCTTGAAAAGGTATGTCTGTTGATTTTCTGAAATTTCCCTCACTTTAAGCTTTTATGGCATCAACAGCTGATTCTTTAAAGAACCAGCTTAGAAATCCAAAGATTTCTATTTCTATATTTGTATATACAGTAGAAATATACTTTCCTTCAGAACTTTGTAATTTTTCTTAGAGATTTTGCATCAAATCTCAGAAAATTTTGAGGTTTTAGGTTGTAAAATGGAAAAAGTATTTAAAAAAAAAAAGCCTAAGCTGCATTTTCCCCAGGCACTGTATACAAACTATACAATCTAGGGCTGCAAGTAACAATTATTTAACAAATCGATTACTCTGTTGATTGTTTTTACGATTAATTGATTGATAATTGGATAGAAAAAGGTTCCTTTAAGACTTTTTACCAAATTAAACCAAGTGAAACTAAAACTTTTCCACTTAAGGAGTTCTGGATAGAGCATATTGATCCAAATCTTTTTTTTATCTTAAATGCAAAAAGTTTACATATTCCTTTTACAATGTTGGTATAAATGCTGCTCAAGGTGGGTCGCTCTATCAGCTAAAGACACTTTCAATTTTATTGATGAATTTCATCATGGGAGCCTGACCTAATGATTTCATGTCCAGCATGAGAACAGCCACAAGATTAGACGACAGCCTCTTCAGGAAGTCCGTCTGGCCAATCAGCTCTTTGCTCTCCGTGACACAAGATCGCAGCAGTTTGGAAAAGCTTGATAGGAACTGGAGTGCAGTGACAAACTGAAAAAGTAAAAAACACAAATGCAGACAGAATTACACAGAGCAGGAAAAAAAGAACAAGCAACATTTGTTGTCAAAGTTGGAGAAAAACAAGAAAACAGTAACTAAGATTTAAAGAAAAACCAAACCCCAATTGTATGCCTAGAGCCTAAGCTTATTAAGCATTCCACCCACACTAAAAATGTGGAGGTGCACTAAGATAACCTGTTCTGAAACTGGCATAGAGTTCCAGCCCACGTATTTTGTGGTGGATCATAATAATGAAGAAACAGCAACTGGAAAACTTCCTAAAACATCGCTTCAATCTGTGCTCTTTACCTGACGCTTGATGTCTTCTCTGGTTCCAGGAAGGATGCTGGGTGTCTTCAGCTCAGTCAGACATTTTTCCATGAGCTCGATATCTACTAAACTAAAAAGGAAAAAGAAAGAGACAAGAGAAAGAGCTGTAGAAAAAAATGCCATTAAATATGAAAAACAATATTTTTGGTTTATTTATTTCTACTGTATAAATGCAGAACTAAAAGAAAAAAAAAAACTGGTATCCTGAGTATCCCAGGACTGCTTTCATTAACAGTATAGAGAAGTGACAGTGTTGCATATAGTATGACTATACCTGCTCAGAACCTGCAGTAGCTGGTTTTGTTGGATGGCAGTGAGGGTGAAATCTGGTAGTATGGCCAACAGATTGTTCAGCAGGCCACACTGGGCTGTCAGGAGGTCAGGAGTTACCACGACAACAGCTTCCACGCCTGAGGGCTCGTCTTGTTGGGAGTCCTGAGAGGGAGTAGAGTTGCTTGTGTCTCTGTCACTCTGACCTGTGAGACATGTCAAAAGACAGTGTATGAATCACATCTCGGTCCGTCTCTTGTGACGTCCAGGTAGCCGAGAAAAAAATATGAGAATTCTCGGAATTGTATGAGTTACAGTGGTTTTTGGATATCAACTGTAACCGACCACATGATGGTTTACATTTTCTAATAAAAGGTTGATTTTAAAGTATATGTGGAGAGTTCAAAGTCTAGACAGATTGTTGTTTCTGTAGTACCTTGAGCCATCAGTCTGGCAGGAGTTACATCTGGGATGCTCACTGGGGAGGAAACTTTAGGAGAGTTTAGCCGTGAACCTTTACTCTGTAACAGAAAAAACATGAGCCTTGGAGGATTCATTTCACTTGAGTAACAGGAAAACAATTTCATTTGATCAAAAGGTCCTATGAGAGGCTGAGCTAAATGAAGCTAGACATGATTAAAGCACGGTGACTAAAGTTACCTATATTTTCAAAGGAGAATTTGCTCTTTGGAAAATCTTTCTGAACTTTTTTTATCAGAAGCACAAATATAACTAAATATATGAGAATTCATGAGCAAGGAGAAACAAAAGGGATGGATCATAACTATTATTAAAGTGACACGTCGAGCTACAAATTGATTAACTTGTGCTTATTTATGCATTTTTCTTAGCTCGTGTGGTTCGATAAGCAGCTGCCTAAATAAGTTAAACTATGTTCCAGAATCGGTACATTAAGTAAAATTAGGGGGAGTTAAGGAAGCGTTTATGTATACATACAGTATAAAGTAATATTCTATATTTAACAGATTAGAATAAATTGCTTAATAAATCAGACCAATGTGGCTAATGATGCTCATTTGTCAAAAGTATATAAAAAAAACTTGAATCAGGTGTTTGACATACTTTCCATAAGATTACATTTCTCTGACATTAAAATGTCTCTTTTATTGCTCTGAATTATTATTTTCATCTTTCATGGTGGATTTCCATTATCTGTAATCAGTAAATCATTATTATTAACAAACAGGTAAAAACATCTGTCTGTGTGTAATTACTCTACATGAATTCAGTAACTGGGAAAAAAAATCTTTAATAATATAGTACTTTGGTGAGTATCACTGTAGTGTATTAAAAAACAAGAGAAATACCTGATACCATAGAATAAAACAGGGTTCTTTGATTAAAAAGTGCATTTTTTTTTTCCCACCCAATGTCTAATTAAAAATATAAAATTTTCTACTACCATGAATCACACTCCATCACTTTTACTGAATCTAATATTCATGGTTTATAGTTGTTTTCACAATTTTTAAAACATAAAATAAAAAACTTGCAAAGATTGATCCTTGTGAATGAATGAATGAAGGAAGGAAGAAAGGAAGGAAGGAAGGAATAACAGTAGGAAGAACGGAAGGAAGAACAGGAAGAACGGAAGGAAGAACAGAAGGAAGAACGGAAGGACGGAAGAACAGAAGGAAGAACAGAAGGAAGAACGGAAGGAAAAACAGGAAGGAAGAACAGGAAGAACAGAAGGAAGAACAGAAGGAAGAACAGAAGGAAGAACGGAAGGAAGGAAGAACAAAAGGAAAAACAGAAGGAAGAACAGAAGGAAGAATGGAAGGAAGAACAAAAGGAAGAACGGAAGGAAGGAAGAATGGAAGGAAGAACAAAAGGAAGAATGGAAGGAAGAACGGAAGGAAGAAAGGAAGGAAGGAAGGAATAACAGAGGGAAGAACTGAAGGAAGAACAGGAAGAACAGGAAGAATGGAAGGAAGAACAGAAGGAAGAACAGAAGGAAGAACGGAAGGAAGAACAAAAGGAAGAACGGAAGGAAGGAAGGACAAAAGGAAGAACGGAAGGAAGAACGAAAGGAAGGAAGAACAGAAGAAAGAAAGAACAGAAGGAAGAACAGAAGGAATAACCGAAGGAAAAACAGGAAGGAAGAACAGAAGGAAGAACAGAAGGAAGAACGGAAGGAAGAACAGAAGGAAGAACGGAAGGAAGAACAGAAGGAAGAACAGAAGGAAGAACAAAAGGAAGAACGGAAGGAAGAACAGAAGGAATAACCGAAGGAAAAACAGGAAGGAAGAACAGAAGGAAGAAGAGAAGGAAGAACAGAAGGAAGAACAGAAGGAAGAACAAAAGGAAGAACGGAAGGAAGAACAAAAGGAAGAATGGAAGGAAGGAAGAACAAGGAAGAACCGAAGGAAGAATGGAAGAAAGAATAGAAGGAGGGATGGATTTTTTTTCCCACATACTGCCGTGTTGCTGACTGCAGTGCTTGAAGTGGAAATGGAGCTGGAACTTCTTCCAGAGGTGATGCTAGGTTCTGGCTCACATCTCAAAAGCAGTAGAGAATTGTCTGAATCTAAATAACCACATTGACAGAATTAAAAAAAATAACACACATGAAGTCTCACAGAATTACAAAATTATGGTATTAGTGAGCATAATCATTGTCTTTGCTGTGATCCATCATGATGACTAAGGAAATCGGGGCTTACCAGAAAAAGAGCTTTCCTGAAGACTCGGATTATGGCTCCCCAAAGGCTGTGGCTGCATGTTGAATGTGTACCTGCCACGGTAGCAAGTTGAGGCAGAGAGAGCCACATTGTGGAAAAACTGACAGTGGTACAGCAGAGCCTGCAGTGCTGGAAGACCCACCAAAGACACACCGGATACCTCATCATGGACACAGGGCTGCTAATGGGGGGATTTGACATGAGTTGTACAGAAATAATAAAGTGAACAAACTTCACAGAGGCAAATGATGTCACTTAAATTTAAAAGCTGATATATATATTTGAATATATTATATATACAAACATAAAATTTTCACATTTGCCATTTCCTAAGAGGTGACATTCGGTGCTTCCCACACAAAAGCGTAAAAAAACTCAGTCTGTTGTTTTTTCACCTCACCACCAATATTATATATTATATATTATATTCTCCCCATCTTTATAAAGTTGTTCGCAGATACAGCTCACTTCCCAAGTACCTGCATCCTATCTTAGGATGCATTTGGAGTTTTGATTGAGAGCTTAATTAATCTGGGCATTAATTCTCTATGCGTGCACCGAAATCTAAATACACCTTTAATTCAGCAACATGCCTGATCTGAACTCAAAAGCAATTTTCTTTATAAACAAAAGTTCTTGAAAGGGTGAGAGAGCTGATCCAGATGGAGGAAAATAACAAGAAAGGGGGTAGAGAAAGTTCAGGGTCTGTATGAGGGTTTTTAACTGGCAGGCAGATCTGCTGACCTGCCAGTGGGAGTCCTTGGCCTCCTCTCCGTTGGCAGGCATAGGCATCACCAGCAAGTTCTGCAAGATAAACGCAGCCTGGACACACAAACCAATAGAGAAACACACACACACATACACACACACACACACACACACCGTCTGGGTTAAGGTGGACTGCTCCAGCAACAGTGCCATCTACCTGCCTTTATTTGGTAATGCAATTTTTAAAGCTCGAGTGGTCTTACTTATTAAAGGTACAAAGCATAAGTTACAAGAATGTAAAATAAGAGACAAATAAAAAAAACGTGCATATTTTGGCTCATTGTGCAGAGTTCTTTATTCCCCATGAAGTGATAAAACATAACAAGAGTTCTTTGATCATGAGGGACAGTTTTTTCACCGTACCTCTCTGCGAACCATGCTGCTCTCTTGTTGGTCCAAAAGGATGTTAAGCAGCGTGCCCCACAGACCTCCGCTGATGTTCTGACAGCTGGCAGACAGAGCCTGGCAGCCACTGGGCATGGAGGAGAGAGCGGCGCCTAAACTCAAACTGGCAAACCTCACCTGACAGAGGAAAAGGAAAAAAAACATCATATGCTTCAAATGTTAAATATAAAGAAATATACAGCAGCTCCTCCGAAGTAAATGGAATCATTATAGCTTATTGTGTGTTTCTTATGAGTTTCATCATATCTGAAAATGTAAGAAATGCAGAATTAGTTTTCATGACGTGATAAAAAGTGAGTAACAGAGGCTGGTGAACAACCTTACCTCTTGATCTCGGTCCACCCAAAGCGGGACAAGCCAAGCCAAACCCAGCTGAGAGCCACTGACTTCCTCTGCAGTTCCATCGTTCCCGAATGACCACTGAGTTATGAAGTCCTAATGTCAGGAAACAGCCTTGAATTAACTGAAATGCCTCTTAAACTCTGTCAGAGCCATTACGAATAAAGACCTGTAGGTTTAACCAGAGTACTTTCAAAATCCCCCATGCTCCTAAAACTTAACATTTTGCCATAGTGGAATTTCATATAAAAGACAAAGCAAACATTTTTTTGGCTGTGATTACAACTATTTGGAATATTTCTCTATAAGCTGTGCATTCTTTGCACAAACGTTCAGTTCAGACAAGCCGGAGAGAACATCAACGGAGCTCTGGGGCCCTAAGCAAGACCCTTAACCCCACACTGCTCCCCAGGCACCACGCAATGGCAGCCCACTACTCCACAAGGGGATGGGTTAAATGCAGAGAGTGAATTTCCCCATAGTGAGACTATAAAAAGATTTACATTACATTAGATAATAATCTATAACTGAATGCTGCTTTAAACTTCTTCACAGCCTCCTCCCTGACTTATCCGTTGAATTCTTCCGTCATCAACAAAGCAGTGATGTTTTTTTCCCCTAACTAATGTGACTTCTGATGGAAAGTTGCTGTTAATTTAGTGAGATTTCAAAGAGATTTCATCACAACAACACTCGCAGGTTTCTGGAAGATCACCAATTTCTGATCTTTAAAATGCCTCTGATTTAGCCCGATACAGATTTTTTTTTTTTTTTTTCATAACTGACAGTCATTTGTTTTAATATCACAACACACCTTCAATATTTCAATCTTATCTAACTTAAGAGCGGTAATCAGTATGAGAGAGACATTAAAAAAGTCTGCAATAACTGCCTTTGCAGAGGTAGATAAGATCGATGGAAAAGATCATTTTCACACCCAAGTATCGGCCGATTAGCAATCTCCTAAAATTAAGCAAATCAAGGCCGACTGGTCGGTGCATCCCTAAAACATACGCAATACTTTTCAGATTTTTATTTGAAAATTTTCCATCCAACTAATAACCATGTTGCATTTTGTGTTGGTCTATCACATAAAATATCTAAATAGATGGAAATGTGTCGTTATAATGAGACAGAAATCAGTATATTCGCATTTCTTTATAACTTGCCTTATCCTTGTTCTCCGTCATCATCTCATGGGACAAGTGAAGCAAGCAAATAATGGCGTTCCTGGTCACACCTTTCCCCATGAAGGACAGGGAGTTCCCTCTCCACTCAACGTAAAAGGAAGAGATCACCTGTGTGAGTGACACAAAGATATCCTCCTAAAAACTAGGACATCATACAAAAAATATACCTATTTGACAGATTAAAATATTTTTTTTTTTTGACCACACAAAGCAAATTTAATGGCCTCTGTTTACAGTTAGCTGTTTCAATCAGCTCAAATGGTATGCTTGTTAAGTACTGCATCCAAACTAAACTTTAATACAGCTGAGAGACTAATTAGTTTGTTTTTGTGCACCATCAGTATGTGAGACAGCACAGAAGAGCAGATGAAGAGAGAAATGCCAAAGGCCGGCGGAGCTTTAGGACCCCATACTGCCAGCAAAGTCAGAGCAGAGGCCAGTCAGAGGATTAAAGAGGCATAGAACTGCTGTTCTGGACTTGGGTACATTTGAAACAAGACATGTAATGTATATGTGGACTAATTTTTCTTTATTATATTAGTATTAGAACAAAACAAAAACAAAAAGAGGTTTATGTGATGTGAAATATGCGATTTCACACATTTATGTGTTGCTTTGTTTTCAAGCAAAAGAGAACAACTACTTTTGACACCGATGTGCTGGTGATTGTTGTACAAGCTAATATTCCCTCTGTTTTATGCACTGCTGAACAGATGGAAAAAGCAAGGGTGATTAATCTCATCAGCATCCTCACAGAATGGCATATCTGATCGCCGAGATTTTTATCAATTGCAATTCATGTCTCATAAGTGCACTTTGCTGAATTTTAAATAATTCCTTAGAAATTTACATATTTTAGCATTTAAACGTTTCTGTAGGCACTTTAATATGTGGGGAAGCAGTAGGAGGTTGGCATAAACTCGAGTATATGAGCACACACAAAAATAAACTGAGGCTTTCGCACTCACCTCTAATAATCCGCTGAGATATTTGGAGCAGAGGGAGCTGGGCTCCAGGTCAGGGCAGTGGGAGCTCCAGCCAGGCTGGGCAGTGAGGCTGACCATGCCCTGCAGTGCCCTCTCCAGGCTGGGAAGGCCATAAAAACGCGGGGCATCAGACAACCGCAAGCTCTGAAGCAAGCGCAGTGCCAGCTGGCTCTTAAAGGGACCCACTAATGCCAAACATAGCCTGGACAGACAGGAAAGGAGACAGCGAGAAGTGAAACAAAGCAGACAGGCAGAGGGAAAAAAAAAAAAAAACAGGAGACAGAGAAAAATTGGAAGGAAAATAAGAAATTGATGACAGCCAAGTTTTCCTTTTTTTCGGTTCTAACACATTAGGCAAACTCATGAGCATTCAGGGACGTGGTTTCTTGGCTCATTTTTCAAGCTTTCCCTTTTGGGTTTTCATTATTTTTAAAAGGATTCCTTTGTTTTGTGTATAAATTCCTTCTTTTGGTGAAACAGTGACTTGAATAGAATAGAAATACCCGTATTATGTGGGCAAAAACAAGTCCAAATAAAACGACTGACTTACACACTGACAAATAATCTGAATAAAAACATTAAGCTGTGCAGCCGAAGATCATTTCAGAACTTATCAGAAAGAAAAAAAACACTGCAGTTATTAGTAGATAATAAGGCAGTTTTCAAGATATACAGAAGAAAAACAACAGTCTATTCACAGAACAATGTAAAATGATAACAAAAATCACTCTTAAGAGAAACTACAAAAATATATATTGCAAATTTACATTAGTATCAGATTAAGAGCTTATTCATCTATGACAATGTAAACTCAGTTTTGCATTCTATGACCCCTTTAAGCATCTACGATGCAGCTTTACGGCTCTCAAAGAGCTGAGCTCTGCAACAGCTCTATGTATGGGATGTTAGGCACTGTCCAACAGTGATTCTATCTTTCTTACTGTCCTTCTGTCTCCGGCCACCTGCACTGTGTCTAAGGGGCATCCTAGGACAGAGCTGATTCCTCAGAGCAGCTTATCCAACTGCTTCAGTTATGCTGCTATTTCAAACTAAACCATACAATGACCTTAAGCTAAATGATAACAGGTTTATGTTTGATACCAGCCTACCTGTCAGTCGTATTTGACAGTCTGATCATTAGGGTGTTAAAGAAGTTGGTGAGCTCTCTCTGCAGTCTCTGGCTGACATGTTTCGTTACCTCCTCAGGATCGTCTAAGCTCTGTGTCTCCGCACCATGGAGCAAATGAAGAAGAGCAGCAGTCTCCTAAGAAACCAGTTAATAAACAAAAATAGATATTTCTTTATCCAACTCTTCATTTACATAAATGTAAAGCTTACTAAAACATATTAGCAATGGCTTTATTTAGTTATTCAGTTTGTTTGCTGAAACTTAATGTGCTGAAATACACGATTGTTAGAATAATCCTGTTATAGAGATGTCACTGCAAAATAATTATGCGGTTTGTCTCTAAATCTGCTTAAATTCAAGATAACTTGATCATAGTTCAAATGTAGAGAGGTCTTGTAGAGTCATAAATTTAGTCCAAGTTATTTTCTATCGTTGGCTATGATGACCGAGGATCTTGAAAGCATGACGAGCCTTCAGCTTTGCAAGGTCATTGGCATAAAGGTTTACCTGGCAGCAAAAATAACCGAAATTTCTCAACATATTAGAGTTTTACATAGGTAAAAAAAAAAATAATATTTCTGTTGATGTTTAAATACAGAAAAAATTATCAAAATATTAATTCAAATATTAATCTTTGATCGTCTCAGACTTTCAATGTGAATCCTGTGTTTAATTCAGTGAGAAGTTCACACCAAACAGTCAGTCAGAAGAGTTATAATGGCTTATGTTATAGATTGCTTTGTATATATCTAGGGGCTTCTTTGACACCTCAGGGAAACAGCTTTCAAAGCAGATTGATGTTTTTAATAATTCTCTTTAACTTTTTCATGACAAGAAGCAGGCATTCTCTTCCCAAATCTGTGGGTCCATCCAGATTCATCAAATCAGGGAGTGGAAATATTTTTCAATGGTTGCTGTAATAGGCGCCGTTTGAATGATGCTAGCAGTACAGAAGGGTAGGGGAATGATGCTGCATGCTTTCCATCATAGTACATAGTCAGACCATTTTGGTAACAAACAAAATACATTATTTCTTTAAACATACTCTGTGCTACACATGCAAATGTGTGCACTTTCATTGGTTTTTGGTTTTATAATGAAGCTTTTCATTACATTTGTGTAACTTACATTTTTTTGTCATTCTTTACAGGAAACAATACAGATTGAGGGCCTGGTTGGTTAGACAATGTCCACTTTATTCTACTAGCCCATCATCCAAAGGCATCACATGTAACTGATGGAGCTGCTAATCAAAAACTTACCACCCCTAATAACTTCTTTCCCCACCGAAACCAGAAACAAGGTGCTGATGAGAATCTAAATAGGAAGAGGGCTGACCTCAGGTACAGCCCTGTCTTTATGCTGCAGGCAGCTTTGGAGGGTCACAGAGATGGTGTCATCATTGGAAACCTCTGCTTCTCCTTCATAGATAACATTTTAGGCTATTGTGGACTCCAGGGTTATATTATATGTTTGTCTCTTATTATATTGAAATTATCTTCAAAATTTTTTTTTAAGTTTGTCAAGTTATTAATAATTATAAAATGACTGAATGTTAATATGTTTGATTCCTTATTTTAAGGTTTCCCAACTCAGATCAAATAGAAACTTAATACTTTTTAATCTATTTGAAAATTCATACATTTTGAGGTATAAACTGAGATCCTCCCTTCTGTTTATTTTAGAGTGAAAAACAAAACAGCTAAAGGCTATTTGCCCTTCGGATCATTTTGATACATTCTAAGGCTAATTAGTTTAAAACCTTTGCTCAAAACGATGCATAAATAAAAAAAAACCTTCTATTTATTCTATTAAAAAGAATAATAATTAATATGCTCTTGGCTGTCACATGGTGAAATTTCTTACTGATCAGTGAATGCTTTATGCAAGTGTATGAAGCGACAGATGTTCCTGAAACAGCTCAGTAATTACAGAAAAACAGAAGAGAAGAGCGAAGCTAACCCCTACCAGGCATTAAATCTGAGTCTTCTTCAGCCACCGGGGAAGGACTTATTGTTTACACAAACATTAATAAGCAAACTAAAGTGAGACTGATTAAATAAAGAAAGCAGCTCTCCTTACTATAGCAGACGGCTTTTTCTAAATAAGAATCCTACGTTTTTGTTTTTTTAGGAGCTCGGGAAATTATATATAATATGTCTAAGGGGAAATGCTACATGGCTGATTTTCTGTTGTTATTAGACCATAATGTGTTCAGGGGGTTTGACAATCTGTGTGATTTATTCGGGTTTGATTGTTGATATGAAAGCTCCTGCACTAAGGAGGATCATCATATAACTAGGTTATGGAGATGCTTTACTGAAACTGGTGAGCAGCCCCGTATTACAGACAAACACTAATAAGTTATGCTGTTAAGGTTTAGATTCTAACAGAAGAGAAGGTTAATTCACATTCATATTACTAAAGCCAATAATTTGCATTTCCAAACTATAGAATAACTCAAACAACATTGTGGACAAAATAATAGCATGGTTTCTGTTTGCATCATAAATCTAAGAAGAGTGCAACACTGCTGCAGCAAGGATTTTTTTTTTTCATCCACGTCCATAAAGTGTAAATGATCTGGACCTGGTTGAGAAGCAGCTCCAGTATCCAGCGCAGGTCGCGGTCCTCCTGGTCAGAGGTACGCTCTGTGGGAATTTGTTTGAAGTAGGCATTCAAAAATGTCACAATTCCCACCAGCAACCTTTCATCCTCAACACAGGCTGGACGCACCTGGAGAAACCTGCAGGGAGGGAGAGACAGCGAGTGTGACTGTCATGGCAAGAGAGACACAGGCGAAAGGCTTTTCACAAATTCAGTGCAGGTACTATGCAACCAATCTGCCTTTATTTTTTTGCTTGTTTATTTTGCTCTTTATGATGAAAAATCACAGCAAACAAGCTTTAACTGTAAAGAAAAACCCAAGAACTACAATGGAAAGACATAGAAGGGAGAGAAATGCATAAATACAGGCAAACTAATGTCAACAATTCAATAAAGATTAATGATATGAAAGCAGTTTCTCACGATTTTATTAGCAATACCGACAGAAAGCAATGGTGAATAAAAAAACTAGGCTTTTTGGGGTTTTGTTTTACAAATAAAATTTTAAATAGTGTGGTGTGTTCAGTCCCATTTACAATGACACTCACTATTACTGCTATAATACCACTAAATTTAATTTCTTTCTAAATCATCTATTTGGTAACTTAAATCCACCTGTGTTAAATCTGTGTAAATTACTCTCAGAATATTATTGTTCGGTAAAGAAAAAGATTTTTGATGGTAAAAATCAGACAAAACCTCTGAATTCCTACAAACTCTGACCCGCTTCTCTGGTAATGAAAAGTTGGCCCACAGCATGAGGCTGCCACTTATGTGTTTCACCATGGGTATAGTGCACAGCTAAATGTTTCAGTCTACTCTGATAAGAACACATTCTTCCATATACTTACATCATGGCTTGTAGTTAATTGTATACAGACCTTATGTTATTTTTTTCAAATTTTGAGAAAGATGTAACATTTGTTAAAAAAAAAAAAATGCAATTATCTGTGTCGGTCTATCAAATAGAATAAAAGAAAAACTAAAAGATTATTGTTTTAATGTTACCAAATGTAAACTTAAAGTTCATGGTTCTGAATATTTCGACAAAACAAGGTAAGGTGTCGTTTGTATTAAGAAGCTCACTCTCTGTACTTGTATAATATTACAAAATTATACATTTTAAGTCTTTTTATTTACATCTAGGCAAAGAAAAAAATACAGAACAACATAAAAAACCAAGCTAAGAAATAACCAAGCATTTATACATGTAAAAAATATAATTTAAACACCACTCAGTTAAAAAAATGTATTAAATTAAATATTATGACAAACTGCAAGCATAAAAAAAAAACAAAAATATTGTTAAAAGGTTCAATTACATAGTACAAAATAGGCTTATTTTGGAAACAAACTGGACTTTTGCACAGTGAATGTCAGGTTAAGTCCAATTAAAACCTGCTTTGTGGTTGCCATGACCCGGGTGACTGAGAATTTCAACAGGCATGTCGATTTACATAATTGTTATTTGAAAAGACAAGATAATAAAGCAGGCTTTGGCAATACTCTATGCAGAATAAAAATGCTTTTTTAATGTGTCAGCAGAATACCTGGTCAACACTGTCTGCCAACTGAGGGACTGAAGGATGTCTCTGCAGCTGTGGGTGGGAACATGAGGTAGAGCCAGACTGTTAAACAACAAGTAGAGGTTGAGTCTGGACAGAGCAGAGGCCACAGATCTGTGTCCCTCTGCCGTCACGATGGCTTGGATGCAGTCACACAGCGCAGCTGGGAGGTGCATTGCCCTGAGCGACGAGATCTGTGACTCCGACAGCTTCAAGTCAGGGTGAAATCTGTTGGAGTCAAAATGTGAGCAGTCAAAAAATACATACATCAATATTTTAAAAGCAGGGATCTGCATATAGTCCTTAGAAGCAAACAAACGACTGGATTAACAATACACAGGGGCCATTAATGTACAGAAGATAGATTTACTTTCTAAGTGAGACAGATACATCCATGTCATACTTGTTGCTAGCAAGAAGCAGAGAAGAGGAGCAAACATTAATTAAAAACATAATTCTTTAGAGCAGCACGTGCGAATATTAAGATGAATCCATCTTAAGCAGCTGCTCTTCACTCAATCACAGCACCATGCAGCATCTCGGATGAATTCATCTACCAATGGCGTGTTTCGAACATCTTAGTCAAGCTGGTTAAAACTGTAGAGAGGCGCTCTCATTTGTTTAAATTAGGTCACATTAGGGCTAAATGAAGACGGATGAACACAATATGCCACAACTCTGGTGCTGATACGCTGCTGAACTTCACACTGGATGTGTTGTTCAAGGGTGATACAATGCAGGCTCTTTGTTTGCATGAAAATCCTGTTATTGTTTCTGCTCTGATCCTGTAAACCAACATCTGCTTAACGTTCCTTCTTCAAACTAAATATATTGGAAATGTTAGCCGCTAAATAAACACTGAGCATTACCGACAAAAATTAAACATTTCCTAACTGCATGGAACAAGTTGGAAATTAATAAGAGCCTTACTGAGAATCACCAGCAACACTGTGCACTTTCTCCAGGACATTATCTATCCCAGAATGCCATGCAGCATTCCAGGCCACCTGCAAGGCTTGGCGGGTGGAGCTTAGGGTGAGAAGGTCAGAGGAAGGAGCCAAGATGCAGCAGTACGGGCTGACGGCGTGATGAGTCGCTGCTTGGAAGGGAATGTTGTATCTTTAGGAAACAAAAGCAAACATTAAAAAAAAAAAAACGCTGCTGATGTTTGCTAATCAGGTGTTTCCATGAGGCAGGTAAAGCTGATTTTCTTTTTGACCTGCCGTACCTCCTAACTGCTGCAACCGGTAGAGAAAATGCTGAGAGAGAGGCATCTTTGGTGGATTTCTCTGACCTGATGAGAAAAATCCCTAACATGTTTATAACTAGGCTAAACAGTTACGAAGGTTGAAAAGTTACCAAGTGTTAATAAAATAACAAATAATAAACCTGTAAAACAAAATGATCATGAAATGTTCATTATGTGCCAAACTATTTAAAGCAAGCTTAGGTAACAAAAATCTATAGTAGATAGCTTTAATGTAAGAACAAGTCCTTGGTGGCTTGTAGTACGAAAACATAAACCAACCAGGTCTCGATGCTGGCGATCTCATCAAAAAGCAGCAAACACATTAGGACGGCCGTTTCGGTTCCATTGCCTTTTATTTCCTTCAAAAGCAATGATGCTGCAGAGAAGAATAAACATTCGTAAAAGAAACTAAG